ACACAAGCGGAATTGTATTGGTGATTCAATTTCATACTATCAATTTTAAACATATTCTTTTTGTGATTAGCGACCACATGGAGTTATCAATTTCATGGATTTTAAGGGCCTATTCACTTCAGCATAAGTTCAGTTTAGTTCAGTTCACTTCATCTCTAATTAGTTCAGTTCAACTCCAATCAGTTCATTTTAGTTCAGTTCAGTCCAGCTCTTAATTCCTTCTCTCATAAAATATTCATTTCATCTCAGTTCAATTCATTTCAGCTTCAATCTGTTCAGTCATCTCAATTCAGTAAATGTGAATAGGCCCTAAACGGGCTATAACCATCATTAAAAAAAATCGTGGTTGCTTTTGTCCTTCTCATCATTAAATTCCATGAATGATTTACAAGTTCCTTACTTTGTCACATGATCCTTTTGATTCATTATCAATTTCACATCGATTGCCAAACACGTACACAGGTTTTGAATTGTTATTAAGATTGCAACAATTTTTACTTGTTGCCTTTGTAAAATTGATGTCTTATCTATCATTTTTACCTTTGCTTTAAAAATTATTGCTTTTGAATAAAAATGTGTTGTCTTGTTAATAGACAATGAGGGCATAAACTACACCGCATGTGTTGCCTTAACTAAAAAACAACATTTTTTTTAATATTACGCAATGGTTTTTCACTGCCCCTTGTTTAATTTTGTTGTAGTGATAATTCAAATTTCGGAATCAATAATCTATGGCAAGAGCATTAGCAAATGGGTAAAACTTTACCCAGTAAATAGATGTTAAACACAGAGCTTAAGACATTAAGATTTGCGACGTCACATGTATTGTGTATATATAAAATCGACCAGAGTTGAAAATGAGGAGACTTTCTTGACATTGTGACATAGTAAAAGTTGGAGAGGAGTACAATTATAAGAAATACTACATAATTTATAAAACCAATTGGATGTTGGTATAGTGGTAATTGGGACTACAATTGATAGAGATGATCTGTGTTCGATCCCCCCAACAACAATTGGGAGGGGACTGGAACCTAACCACCAAAAACTGATCCCCAAATCCGGATTATCCCAAAGGGTGAAACGGGTGGAACACTAAACCATACAACTTTTGAAAGTCAAATGTAAATAAAGTGTAATATTATACTATCATCTCTCGCTTAGGGTTCGTTTGGCATTGCTGTGGTTTTCTATTTTTTGGTTTTTTGTTGTATAAAAGTATATGATATATGTCGCATAATGAATCAAAAATTATTTAAACTTATTAAAATCATAATAATTTTGAAAACTGACAACAAAAAAGTGAAAACACCTTTTTCTTGTTTTCTTTTTTGGTTTTTAGTTTTAAAAAAAAGCAGGAAACTAAAAACCAAAAATGATGCCAAACAAGCCCTTAACTATTTGTTTTAGTTACTAATCCTAACTCGGTTTCAATAGTTCTTAACACTTATTCTTTTGCGCATATTATGCGGCAACTGGCCATAATTAAGGAAGAAGTTTATGAAAAGTGTAACAAGATCACGAGTACAACAACCAAAAAAAAAAAAGAGTGGGTGAATATAAGAAAGTAAATTGAAAGGCGTAAATATTGTAGGATAAGTAGGGTGTAATATAGAACATTATGAACCATATTACACCCTACTTATCCTACAATATTGTAGGATAAGTAAATTCAAAAATCTAAGCTTAAAAATTTAATATTATAAAAATTATACTACTTCGTAATCTGTATTTTGGTTTGTTAGCCTAAATTTTATTGCTTACTACTTACTACTGGCACAAAAATTAATTAGACCACAATGGTTGTAGATAGGGACTTACTTGCAATTTTCAAAAGTCTCTAGCTACTAGCTTGACCAATGGAGCTAAAAAATACAATTAGCTTGGTCATCCAAGCTAATTTGCTTGACAAAAAAGTTTCCAAAATGTTTGGACATTAGTATATTAAAATAATTAAATTTCTAGGGCTAATTGAAAAGGTCCTGATTATTTAATTAACAAACTAGCTAGTAGCTAACCATTGGGCACAAAATAGCTATAAAGAAAGTTAGCTTGAAATCATGTGTGGCATGGCAAGCTAATTTAACAATTAGCTTACCATATTTATCCAAAAATAGAAACCTTGATCTGTTGATCACAAATTCTTAATTTTCAAAAATAGTTATCTAAAGATTTAAGTTTTTCTTGATTGGTTCTACTCAATATACATTAATTTTCTTTTAAAAATAAAATTTAAATAGAGTCTTTTTCTTGGTTCAACTCAATAAACTACGTATATTATTCAAACCCCTTAAAATAGCAACGTATATTGTTCAATTATCAACTGTATTTAACTTTTCTCACAAGATTTTGGAGTTATTAATTAAAAATTGCACTTGAGTTGTAGAATAGCGAATATAAAATAAATAAATTAATTAATTATTAAATAAGACTTGCGTTATTTTGAAACATAGTACTTGTAAGTTGTAAGAACATAATAATTGGTTGCTCATTGGTGTCAATGATGGTAGTCATAATTTTTCTTTAGCAACATCTATCTTTTCTATTTCACGCATGACCAACCTCATATGCCCAGAATTATATTGGTTGCCCTCAAATTTTAGGCATATGTTTTCTCTTTGTACAAATTGACATACTTCTTCCATTTCTAATTTATTGTCCTACTTTACTTGTGTCTGATTTTCAATACAGTATTTTATTCGACTATTTCACCAAATGTCACAAGGGTACTTATAAAATTCACCAAATGCCACTGACAAACAATATAATGACACCTCGTGCCACTAATAGCATATGAACGTTAGTTTTCCGTTAATGCAATTCATATTTCACCAAATGCCGTTACTTTGGAAAATTATTTCACCAAATGCTATTACTTTTTAAAATTAATACACAATAATTATTTAGGACATTTTGCAAGAAACTACCTTTTAAAGAATTTTTTTTGCGAGAAACTACCTTATATAAAAATGTTGTAAAAAACTACCTTATAAAAGCTAAATGTTGTAAGATACTACCCTTGGTCGGAAAGTGAGAGTTGACTTAATTTTTCCAGCGTTGACCTAGTCATGTGCCGGTCACGTGACGTTTAATTCATCTTTCCCCATTTTCCCCGAGCTTATCCATATAATACCTAAGATGAATTAAATGTCATGTGACCGGCACATGACTTGGTCAACGCCGGAAAAATTTAGTCAACTCTCACTTTCCGACCAAGGGGTAGTATCTTACAACATTTAGCTTTTATAAGGTAGTTTATTACAACAATTTTTTTATAAGGTAGTTTCTCGCAAAAAAATTGCTTTAAAAGGTAGTTTCTCACAAAATGTCCAATTTTTATTTTAATGAATAAAAATAATACTTTTTTTCGATTTTCGAAACAAATACTATTATTCGGGTAAGGTTTTGGGGGTCATTTTGACCCTTTATGGGTACAAATTAAGCTTGAAATTGGCTAAAAAAACATTAATACCCCGTTTTGCATTTTTTACCGAAAAAAAATTACAATATCCACATACAAAACAAGCATAAATGTTAATTTTTTAGTCAATTCCGAGCTTAATTTGTTACCGAAGGATCAAAATGACCCCCAAAAACTTACCTGATCAATTTAGATGGTTAAAAAATAACGACTCGCTAATCGAAATATTTTTCAATACACAAAATGGAGCATTTACGTTATTTTTTTTATCAATTCTGAGTTTAATTTGTATTCATAAAGGACAAAATGACCCCCAAAACCTTACCCGATCAATTTTGATGGCTAAAAAATAACGACACGCTAATCGAAATATTTTTCAGCACACAAAACAAAGCATTTACATTATTTTTTTGTCAATTCTGAGCTTAATTTGTATCCATAAAGAATCAAAATGATCTTCCAAAACCTTACCCGATCAATTTTGATGGTTAAAAAATAACGACACGCAAATCGAAATATTTTTCAACACACAAATGGAGCATTTACGTTATTTTTTGTCAATTTCGAGCTTAATATGTGTCCATAAAGAATCAAAATGACCCCCAAAACTATACCCGAGTAATTTTTGCTACGAAAATGAAGAAAAAAATATATTATTTTTATTAATTAAAATAAATAATTAAAATGAATCAATATATTATGACACGTGTCAATATTTAATCTTAATGACTAACGGATTTAACAACCGTTAGTCATTAATAGCATTTGGTGAATTTTTTAAAAGCTCGATGGCATTTGGTGAATTTTGAAAACCTTGATGACATTTGGTGAAATTTTTTAAGTACTTAGTGGCATTTAGTGAAATAGCCGCAGTATTTTTAAAAAAATCTCTCAAGCTATATGTGTGTGTGTGTGTGTGTATCAATTACATTATACTAAAGACGAATCTGATATGACACTTGTCAGGTTTTGATTAAAAAAATTCCCGCCACTTTAACTTTCCTTTTTTTAACAAATATTTATGAACATTATTTTATAATATCCTATAATATTTAACTTTCAATTTGACAACTATATATAAAGTATATTCTATATGCATTCAATAAAAATATTTTGACATATAATATTTTATAATAGGTATTTTATAGAAAAGAAAATCAAGTATTTGTTTCAATTAAAAATATTGATTTTTATTTTTAATTAATTATTAATTATTGTTAAATTAACATTATAATTTATAAATATGCTAAGTAAAAACCGTGCATTGCACGGGATAAACTAGTATATATACTAAAGACGAAACTTAGAGAACACTTGGCAAAATATTATAAAAAGTTTTCCCTCCAAAACCACTTACTAAAAAAAAAAAACTTATTGTAATTAAATTATGACTTTTAGTTTGTATAAAATCTAAAATAAATGTCCTTAAATATCAAATTGTCCATTGTAACTATTACATGTTTAATTAATTTCTTTCACAATATTTCATACTTTTTACTACCTTGCATTTCATATTTATATCCATTATTTTTGGTAAAATTTATTGTCATTAGATTATTTAATTATTTAACTACTGTGCACTGCACGGGGTTTAATCTAGTATATAAGTATGAGATTATTCTACAAGATTTGATTTTGTCATAAATTTCCAAATTTATTCTATTTTTAATAAGTACTCTCTCCATCTTTTTATTAGAGTCCCATTTCTAACATTTATTACCCACATAATAAAGAGAAATAAGACTCTAATATAAGGATGGAGGGAGCTATAGTCCTAAGGGCTACATACATCAGTACCCTTAATTATAGGACAATCAAGTAGAAACGGAGTTTCATTGTTAATTCAATCCATCAATACATGCTATAATTGAATAGAACGATAAATATGACCGTGGATTTTTATTTTTATTTTTAATTAAAGGTAGGAAAAACAACTTGATATAAGAAGATCTAAAACAAAAATTCAAAAAAACAATAGATGTTTTCCATGTGTAAATGACATAGGCAAATAACAAGAAGCTTACGCGTCTTTTGAGTTGAGATAGGCTCAGCCATCTGACGAGCTGAAACTACACAAGGAGTGAGAAAAAGAACAGCGAAGATGATGCCAATTAGAAAAACCTTTGAGGAAGCCATTTTTTGACTCAACTACTAAAACTTGTTCTGGGGTGTAATAAAACGTACAAAAGTTGATCACTTATTTATAGTCAATTGTAGCCTCCATGTTGGAATATTTCCAATAATTATGTTATGTATGGGAGGGTATCCCACATGGAAAGAATAAGAAGGTTATGTATTGTTTATATAGTAAATAATTGGATATGATTTATGAAATAGGCTAAGTGGTGTTTTGGACAAGTGGGCTAAGTGGCTTAAATCCCTACCTTATAAAAAGTAGAAACTTTCTCTTATGAACAGTCTGTGGACGTTTATAACCTAAAAAAAATTCATTTTACCTATTTGCCCTCACGTCAAAAGCATACAAGTATGAGTTTAATTTTATTTTTAACCTCTTTCTCTCTTCTTCGTTCAGTTATTTTCTGGCACAACTTTTCATCTTTCTCACTAAAAGGACAACTCTTCAATTCTTTATCCTCATCTCCACCGTCACCACGGGTCACTTCTTCTTCTCTATTTTGAAAATTCACTAACCTCTTTCTACAATGGTGTGCATCTGATTTTCTTTAATCAAAGGTTTCAATTGATTGATGTTACCAATTGCGCCTTTCTTGGGGTTTTAAACGACATGTTCTGAAATCTGATTTAATTTAGCAATACAATTTGGTGGCTTCAACGTTTCTTCCATTGGTAAATTCTTACATCTGTTGATATTTTTGAAGTATAATATGATGTTTTTTCTTTTTTGTCACTTGATTTTCTTGATAATGTTATGATATTTGCTAAATTTTTCATTATTATTGTCTGTTGTTTTTGAATTGTAAAAGGTTTAATTTTATATAGTTATTTTGTGTTTAATTATTTTTTTGATTAATCAGATCATTTCGTTCTATGCTATAGTGCTTATTTAATTTGTTAGATATGTATGGCCAAAGCTATTCGTCCAAAGCTTATTATTGGTTTTCAATGCAATTTAATATTTTCATACAATTCAATTTACAGTGGATGGGAAATCTGGTTGGAAAGGAATGAAACGATTTTCCGGGTAGGTACTTTTTTTTTTTTGCACGATTCGGAATCCTTTTTGATATCCAAAGACCTCACATTATTCTGATCAATGATTATTTTGTTCGGGGGAGGTACTTTCTCTATAGGTGATACACTGATACCATGGAAAGAGGAAAGCTGAGAGTTCAAGAGCATGTTATTTGCCTTCAAATATAAAGAATCAAAAGTAGAGGCTCAACCTGTTGACTTTGATCTGGGAATTCCACTAGGCTTCCTAATTGCTAGCTTAGGGAAGAATGTAGAAGGTCCTTGTTTTATACAATTTGACGGAGCCTGGAACAAGACAAACAAGAACATGGGACTTGGCTGGGTGCTGGAAATATATGGGTTGATTGGGTTCATCACAACAAGAGGAGGGTGCTTGTAGAATTGTAGAATGGTTGTATGTCACATGATAGACATGTGACTGTTTTGTCTTATTTGCAGTGGCTCTATTTCATTGGTGACAGTTGTTAGCCTGGTGTATTTTCTCAGCTTGGTGTATTTTCTCTAGAATGATCTGTATTCCTAGGTTAGAATGTATCTAGGGATTGTAAGGAGCAGTGATATAAATATCCTTGTAAGGCTACGCAACCGAGTGAGAAAAACCAAAGAGTAATTGTATACTCACAAAAGTAGTGTACACTTAAACCTGGATAAAAAGGAAAACAGCAAGTTTTGCTGATAAAATTATCTCTGATTACTTTCTTTTCATGGTATTAGAGCAGAAAACGCCCAAAATCAAGTAAAATCATCATATCAATCCGAAAGTTTCAATCTTTGAAGTTCAAAGATGCCAGAAACAAATGAATCTGGTGCAAATCAGACTGGAAATGCTTACGCAGATCCCTACTATATGGCCAACTCTGACCATAATAGTTCTAATCAGCAATTGGGAATCATCATTTTTAATGGCGAGAACTACCTAAACTGGTCCAGAAGCATAAGAATGGCTTTGGGTTCGAGGAACAAGCTGGGATACATTGATGGTAAGTTGAAGAGGCCAAACCCAGGTCATGCAGATTATGGGAAGTGGTAAAGGAACGATAATGCAGTAAGAGGATGGATCTTAGCTTCAATGACTACAAATTTGGCTGAAAGTCTCATTTACTTGGAAACTTCCAAGGAGTTATGGGATGAAGTCAAGGAGAGATATGGCCAGACTAATGCACCTCTACTCTATCAACTTAAGAAAGAGCTGAGTGACTTGAAGCAAGAGAATCAAGCAGTTGGCAATTTTTATTGCAAGCTCAAGAATTTATGGGATCATATTTCTTCTATTGAAGGAATACCAGAGTGTACATGTGGAGCAATGAGCAAATGCACATGCAACATGATGAAGAAGTTGGCTGATGCAGAGTCACTGAACAAACTCATTCAGTTCTTGATGGCATTGAATGAAGGCTTCGAGAACATAAGAGGAAGCATTCTTGCAATGGAGCCATTACCACCTGTGAACAGAGCCTTTCATCTTGTTCAACAACAAGAAAAACAGAAAGAAATCACTGGAAACATGACCACAAATACTGAAGTCAGTGCAATGAATGTGAAAAGACAACCAACAAACAATTGGCAGAGAAGAGAATCCAAGGAAGCCAAAATGAAGAAGAAATGTGACCATTGCTTGATGAAAGGTCACACGAAGGAAGAATGCTTCGAGCTCCTAGGGTATCCAGATTGGTTCAAGAACCCACCAAAAGTAAAGAGCAAAAAGGTGGCTGCAAATGTCAACAAACCGAATGCTGAGCCTGCAAGTGAAACCCCTCTCGACAAGAATTTTGAACATGGTGAATTCAGTGGAACAAAACTAGATCCCAGCCTGATATCAACCGTGGTGCATGAAGTCATGAAGGCAATGAGTGAGAAGCAACATTTGGCTAACTTGCAGGTAATCTCTTAGCCACTAATGTAGGACTTTACGTTCAAGTTTTTGATCCTGGTAGCTGGATAGTTGATTCTGGTGCTTCAGACCACATGGTCAGAAATAGAGGTTTGTTCACTGAAATAAGAAGTTTGAAATTTCCTATAAAAGTAGGACTTCCCGATGGGCAAGTCAAGAATGTGAAGGAGATAGGATCAGTAAAGTTGATAGATAATATTGTGCTGAAAAATGTTCTGTTACTGCCTGATTTCAAGCATAATTTAATGTTAGTTAGCAAGTTAATAGAAGATGGAATATGTATGGTGAATTTTGATAAAAGTGGGTGCTTGATACAGGACCCTACCAGTAAGAGAGTGATTGCTGAAGGAAGAAGTAGAAGGAATCTATAGGCTGAATTTTGGACAGAATGAAGAGAAGAGTAGATCTAATGGAAAATGTTCTGTGAATAATGTAAGTAGGAAGGAAAATTTGAGCATTCTACATGCTAGATTGGGACATGTGTCTTTATAAAAAATGAAACATTTGAGCTTTTGTGGTTGTAAGAATTTAAGTGAATATTTTTGTGATACTTGTTGTGTGGCAAAGCATCATAGAATGCCTTTAAAACCAAGCAATACTATTGCTAGCAGAATTTAAGAGTTAATCCATATCGATTTGTGGGGACCTTATAAGGTCAAAAATGTTACAGGTGCAAGCTATTTCTTAACTATAGTTGATGACTATAATAGAGCAACATGGACACAGTTGTTGTCCAATAAAGAACAAGTGAAAGGAATTCTCAACAATTTCTTGAATTTTGTTGAGAACCAATATGAGTGCAAGCTGAAAACCTTGAGAAGTGATAATGGGACTGAAATTTTTCAGTCAAAATGTGGTAAAGTTCTAGCAGAAAGAAGAATTTTACATCAGAGAAGTATACCAGGAGTGCCTCAGCAAAACGGAAGAGTGGAAAGAAAACACAGATTCCTCCTCGAAACCGCAAGAGCAATTAGGTTGCATGCAGGGTTACCTAGATATTTCTGGGGTGAATGTATATTATCTGCAACTTATTTGATTAATTTGTTACCAAGTTCAGTCTTAGGGTGGAAGACACCTTTTGAGAGATTGAATAAAAGGAAACCAGAATATGATCACCTAAGAATCATAGGGTGTTTATGTTATGGTTTACCTACTGTGAAAAAGAGTGATAAATTTGGTGAAAAAGGAATAAGATCTGTGTTAATAGGGTATCCATATGGTCAAAAGGGTTATAAACTCTTTGACTTAGAAAAAAAAAATCTATATGTGCAGGGATGTAAAATTTGAGGAAAGAATATTTCCTTTTGTCAATAAAAAAGAACCTGTTTTGCAAAATTTGTATAAACAGGTGTTTCTTCCAGATATCAATTCAGAAGATCAAGAAAGAAATGATGAAGGTGGTGGCGATAACTCTCTTATTGAAGAAAGTTTAGAAACTCTAGAGTTTTTTGATGCTAGTGAATTTGTGCATATGGATTCTGAAACTTCTGAACAAATATTTCACAATGATGAAAGTGCAGCAGTTGAACAAGAAGTTGCAACACAAAGTATGCCTATTCAGGAAGAAAATGCAGAACCTAAGGAGACAAGAAGATCAGAAAGAGAAAGAACCGTCTCCAAGAAGCTCAAGGATTACATCTATAAGATTCCTGGTATGACAGGTCAATCAGATGAATCTACAGCTTTTACAGTCCATACTGTAAAAGGAATGAAAAATCACTCTCCTGATTATATTGCTTGTATGAGCAAAATAATCAAAGTGACTGAGCCAGACAGATATGAACAAGCTGAAAGGCATCCTGGATGGGAAGCAGCAATGCAAGAGGAGTTCCAGGCAATGGAGAAAAATGGAACCTAGGAAATGGTGACTCTTCCCGAGGGTAAAAGAGCCATTGATTGTAAATGGGTGTATAAGGTGAAGTATGATAGAGTAGGAAATGTTGTTAGATTAAAGGCAAGAATAGTAGCTAGAGGTGACAAGCAGATAAAGGGAAAGGATTATAAACATACATTTTCCCCAACAGCAAAATTAAGTACAGTGAGGATTTTGATAGCTCTTGCTACTATCAAAGGATGGAAGTTGCGGCACCTGGATGTAAATAATGCCTTTTTGCACGGGTATCTTGAGGAAGAAATATACATGAAGCCTCCAAAAGGATATCAGAAAGCTGTTGAAGGAAAGGTTTGCAGATTGGTGAGAAGCATTTATGGTCTGAAACAGGCTTCAAGAGCTTGGAATTGTGCTTTAAAGGGATTTTTGATACAGCTTGGATACATTCAGTCCAAGAAAGATTATTCCCTTTTTACGAAAGAAGAGAATGGAAAGCAAGCAATCATTCTCGCTTATGTAGATGATTTGCTAATAACATGTGATAACTTGGAAGAAATAGAAAGGGTGAAGAAGAATTTGGACAAAGAATTCACCATTAAGGATCTTGGTGAGCTGAGATTCTTTGTCGGGATTGAGATTGATAGGAATGAAAATGGAATTATCTTGAACTAGAGAAAATATATTCTCGATATCTTGAAGAATAATGGTATTCAAGACTGTAAAGTTGCTAAATTCCCTTTCCCTAAGGTGATGAAACTATCAACTGACAGTGGAGAAGTTCTTCAAGAACCTGAAATTTACAGACGAATCATTGGAAAACTGTTGTATCTGAATATCACAAGACCCGACATTTCATACTCAGTGCAGCAACTGTCTCAATTTATGCAATGTCCTAGAAAACCTCATCTTCAAGCTGCTATTCATGTCATGAGATATTTGAAAGGAACAATGGACTGGGGATTGTTTTATCCCAGTGAATCTGAATTGAAAATTCAGGGATACTCTGATGCTGATTGGGGAAGCTGTGCTTTCAGCGCTAGATCCTTGACAGGATACTGCATTTTTATTGGGAAATGTCTAGTATCCTGGAAAACTAAGAAGAAAAAGAATGTTTCTAAGTCATCCACAGAGGCTGAATATAGGAGTATGTCACATACCACTAGCGAATTGGTATGGGTTGATGATATTCTTCAGAATTTGAAGGTGCAGGTTGAGAAGCCTATTCCGCTACATTGTGACAACAAGTCAGCTGAGCATATAGCTCAAAATCCCATCTTTCATGAGAGGACTAAACACCTCAACATTGATTGTCACTATGTGAGAGATCACATTGAAGAAGGATTCCTCACAACTGTCCATGTTCAGTCAGATCATCAATTGGCTGACATCTTGACCAAATCCCTCACTCAGCAACAACATAATTTTCTTTCTTTCAAGTTAGGTCTTGTTTCTCACCCCAAGCTCCAACTTGAGGGTGGGGGGGGGGGGATGTACAATTGTAGAATTGTAGAATGGTTGTATGTCACATGATAGACATGTGACTGTTTTTTCTTATTTGCAGTGGCTCTATTTCATTGGTGACAGTTGTTAGCTTGGTGTATTTTCTCATCTTGGTGTATTTTCTCTAGAATGATCTGTATTCCTAGGTTAGAATGTATCTAGGGATTGTAAGGAGCAGTGATATAAATATCCTTGTAAGGCTGCGCAGCCGAGTGAGAAAAACCAGAGAGTAATTGTATACTCACAAAAGTAGTGTACACTTAAACCTGAATCAAAAGGAAAACAACAAGTTTTTCTGATAAAATTATCTCTGATTACTTTCTTTTCAGTGCTCTATTGGTAATGGCATATCTAGGTGCTGATAGATGGTGTTTGGATATGGGCCTTCGATATGTAATTATTAAGACGGATGCTACTAAATTAGTAGAGTTACTGCAAGATAATGGGAGGGTTGATAAG